ATCGTGTCACTCGATAAGCCTAGCTAATGGGTACCTTTTGTATTAGCTAAGCCTGAACTGGCAACCAAACAATTGAGGGTGCATCCAGGAAGTTTGGTCGGGCCTTAGCCACCCAACCAATCACTCCCTTTATTTCTATAACTAGTCGTGGCCCGTGTCCAATGCAAATGCAAATCTCTGATCGATACTCGATGATCGTGCGTGGAATTGAACTAAATCGTGTTTGTACATCGAGATGTAACAAGGATGTCATCATCGACAATGGCACATCATCATCGTTGGAGAATGGTCCGGTCGGTTTGGACGGTCAAGTCAAAGTGACCTAATCATCTCCATACTTGAGCTAGAGCAACTACACTACAATCTGGCTATATGCATGCTTCTGTTGATGCTAATTAGGTCACTACACTGGTAAGTAGCTAGATCGCTCGATATAGATGGGCCAAAGATCAGTCTAGCCGACTTTTAGGCCGGCCGTCATCCACAACATGTTCGCACACAAACACTTCACTTGGTGCCTCATCAATGAGTGCGATACGCAAGACACGTCATAGAAGGAGCCTCGTCAGGAGCACGATATGCAAGACACACCAACAAGGTCTCTTGAAACCAGAAAGCCCACACGCCCAGAAGGGACCCCGTCGGGGCGTGCAACGGTGATGGGTTGCCCTAGCCAGCCTGACCACTCTAGAGCTTCGTTCTCGTTGATCCACCGGTCATGTATCACGAACGAAGAACGAGAAGCAATAGTGATGGGAAAGAGAGGGTACAAGGTGTAGTAGATATGTTTTTTTTTGTCGATTGGATAGATGGATACTCAATCGCTAATCCTCTCATATAAATGGAGGGGATAATTTTATCCTAGTAGACAACTTTTTCCGCACGCAAGTTACATGTTTCTGACGAGATCGGATGAGTTTCCAAAGGAAAAACACGAAATTGGGCTCGGACTGCAAAACAGTTTACATAGGGCCACTCAAGCACACAGTCAAAACCGGCCTGCGCCAGTTTTTCCATAATATTGCCAATTGCGCTCAAATTGCTCTAAATTTGATCGTTTTTGCTCTTTTCTTATTTGGATGTGTGTTTTCCAATCTATCTTCAACTCTTCGATCAGATTTTGGTCGTCAACAGTTGCCTTCCTGCAAGCCTCTAGCTAGGAGACCAGGCACATGCAGGACTAGGCCGAGCTCGCTGTAATACTGCTTGACTACATGCACGCATGGAAACAAAAGACTCGATTCGGTTCGGGGTCCCAAAATGAGTGGACGACGAGGGTTAACAGCAAAAACAGTACTGAACAGTCGTGTACACCATATGCGTCCACGAAGAAGGAGACAGTTGTTTCTTTTGCGCAATCATCCTTCGTGAGGAGAAATTTCCAGCCTTCCAGGTGGTATGTGTGCTTTCCAATCTGGGCGATTTTCTCTTAAATCACCACCTGTGCTCGTTTTGCAGAAATGCGTGGCCGCGCGCGTGCTTTCCCATTTTAGAAGTTTCCCATTTGCAGAAGGAGCTAGTGGACTGGTTGATCTTGAAAGCGGTGTTCGCAGTACGCATCAACATTGGACGTGGGCCCTTTATCAAAAAAAAAAAACATTGGACGTGGACCCACCAAAGATGTGAAAGGTAGATATTCTAATAATGCCACTTTTATTTTTATGTGTTGCTAAAAAAAAACTTTTATTTTTATGAAACCTTATTTCGTATTTGTATGTGCCATGAGGAGAGCAGGATTTTAACATTGATCTGCATGTTTTGAAGGCTTGTTTTATAGATATCAACACGAAAATTTGAAGTTTGTACACAGTAGATTGAAGTGGTCCGAGCGTCTATAATAGATTTAAAGGGAAGAATAATGCTATAATTTGAATATTTTGGGTTCGCTGTGGGAAGTTTGAATCCATGCCTTGCAAGTAGTGGATGTAGATTGGTCAAAATTTGCAAGTTTTTGTTCAAAAAGGAAACAAGAACATTTCAATTACTATCCTACTAGACAAAGACAATCCACTTCGTCCTCTTGACTGATGAATGAATTTGTTGCTTGATTAACTCGACAAACTATTTTAACTGATCCAATGTATCCACTAATGAGATTTCTTTTCTTTTTTTTGTTTATTTTAGTACAACTTGAGTCCTAAGTTCAAATTTGTGCCTAATAGAAAAAATATCATATATCTTAGAACAAAATGTTTTATGAATTTTTCACATACTTTTGCATCTTTAATGCTAATTTAGTATTAGATGGTTCTGACGTTAAAAAATAATTGCGAAAAAATATTAATGTATCTTTTAAAAATAAGTTATGATGTGTTCTATCTCACTCAACAAAATTTGAACTTAAATTCAATTTATATGTGAGGAAGAAAAAAAGACAAGGCAATTAATAGATTGCATTATTGAAATAGGTTGGGGAGTAAGTTGAATTGAATTTTGTTTAGGGACTTGGACAATGTATTTGCTCGGTAAACTGGACTTGTCAAAATGGTAGAAGCAAGATGCATGTAGTGATATATTCAATCTCAAGATCCCTTGAGTTCAGTTTCCAAAGATGGAGACCAGGTTTTTACCAATGATCTGCATGTTTTGAAGGCTTGTTTTATAGATAATATAAATACAAAAAATTGAAGTTTCTATATAGTAGATTTAAAGTGGTTCTAGTGTCCATATAGTAGATTTAAAGTGAAGAATGCTATAGTTTGAATATGTGGTTGAAATCTTTTGGATTCGTTGTCAGAAGTTTGAATCCAAGCTTTGCAAACTGGATGTAGATTGGTCAAAATCTGCAAGTTTTTGTTCAAAAAGGAAACAAGAACATTTCAATTACTATCCTAGACAATCCACTCTGTCCTCTTGATCGATGAAGTTGCTGCTTGATTAACTCCACCAACTATTTGAATTGATCCAATGTATCCACTAATGAGATTTCTTTTTTGTTTATTTTAGTACAACATGAGTCCTAAGTTCAAATTTGTGCGTAATAGAAAAAATATCCTATCTTAGAAAAAATGTTTTATGATTTTTTCACATAATTTTGCATCATCTTTAATGTTAATTTAGTATTAGATGGTTCTAACATTAAAAAATAATTGAAAAAACTCTAAATATATCTTTTAAAAATAAGTTACAATGTGTTCTATCTTACTCAACAAAATTTGAACTTCAAATTCAACTTATATGTGATGAAGAAAAAAAGACAAGGCAATGGATTGCATTATAAAAATAGGTTGGGGAGTAAGTCGAATTGAATTTCGTTTAGGGGCATGGACAATGTAGATTGCTCGGTGAACTGGACTTGTCAAAATGGTAGCAGTAAGATGCATGTGGTGATATATTCAATCTCAACATCTCCCGGTTCAGTTTCCAATGATGTTTATAGAAATATAATCGAATTGCATAGGTGTGGTCATAAGAATGAGTGTTTGTGCGAGCGTCCAGATTTGTATTCATTTTTTCCAAACAAAGCACGATTCTTTTTGAAAAATGTGGGTCAAAATTTTTTGAATCCTTTAAGCTTGGGTTCAAAAATTTTGTGCAGTGGTGAGAGCTGTCTCAATGGGTTCGAAGCAGCCTCTCCGTAGATTTTGCGGGAGAAGGCTTGCCTCGGTTTTTCCCTTCTCCAGACCCCACTCATGTGGGAGCCTCCGGCACTGGGTCTGCCCCCACCCCTGATTAGTTTCTAAAGCCAGGAAATTTTGAAAGGAAAACAAAATAATTAAACCTTGCTTCAAAGCTTGTCCAGAAAAGAGAATCCCATAATGTCACTAAAGCTTTATACTCTTCTCTTATGTGCTATTGAAAAAGCTTGATTTCTTTGCGTGGCAAACCATTGGATCAATTTTCATTTATAGTGCAAAGAAATGAGCTAGGAACAGTAAATTAAAGCAAGGAGGTCCACAAGGTCAGTAAATTAAACCCAGGGAAACACGACCATTTTAACGCAAGTCCCTAGCGGTGATACATTCTAAGGGAAGTGACGGTGGTTAAAATCTCCAGCAAACACCAAAAGTCGACAAAGTTTGTGCATAAGTTACCCTGTGTAATTAAATTGAGCACAAACTTTACTACGAGGTTCTTAGTGGTCAGAAATTCAATACCCAGATCGGCCCAATGTAAGATTGGCAGACGCTAGCCTGCTAGGAGGCCAGGCCTGGATCATTCCAGACTGTGTTTGCTGTCCCACGGGCCTGTTTATTTGGGCTAAGTGGAATGAAGACCGGAGTACCGGCCTTGGACTTGGACTTCTTTGGGCAGGCAAATATTTCTCAGCCCTTAAATCCGGGCAACATATCAGGTGCAAACCAAGTAACCTGTGCAAACTTAAAAACTACCAATCAGGACCACTAGATCCTGATCCAATGAATAGAGTGAGAGGTGGAATTTTTTTACGCTTAAGCCCCCCGCCCGTCGTCCTTTTTTTTTTTGCGCTCAAGCCCCCTCACCCCATCCATTGGATCAGCATCTAATGGTCCTCATTGGTAGTTTTCAAGTTTGCACATGTTGGTTAGTTTGAGCTGTGCATAGAAAATTATATATTTTTTCAGGAAATATTCTATTTACCATCCTTAACTGTTACTCATCAATATATTAAATATCCATTTATGTTTTGTATATTTCTAGTATTGTTTACATGCAAATCTATAGCTTTAATTTTTATTTTGAAATATGTAATTTGTGTAGTGCTGCTAGCCTACTAATATATATATTAACATGAGAGGTTTTATATCACCGGATTTTCATTGGAGCTTCGAACTAACCCAAAGAATTGTCTGTCTAACTTTTTTTCATAGGTACCATTGATTTTGTTTTTCTTTCTTGATTGTTACTCCCTCCATTCTCATTTATAAGACACAACATAACATGACACGGTCTCCCAAATTACACTTTGACCATTTATTTATTTTTATTTTATATTATTATACTTATAAGCTTATAATAATTGACTAATAGGATGGTGTGACAAATTCAACAATGTCTAGATCTTGTGAAGATTTTGTTCCTTAGCTGTAGGACCTCCACGACATTGACAAGCTTCCGGTAGTTAGACATCGTAGCAGCTGAAAAAAAGAAGACCAAAATTAAAAGCCATGAAGGGAAATATGAAAGGAACATAGCAATTGAAAGGAGAAAAGGAAAAAAGAATAACACAAATACAGGTGAGCTCAAATATAACATCCATCTTTTTTCGATTTGAAGACTCCATAGAGAACATTGCATAAAGACCGCAATATTAACTTGAAGGAAACACAAAAACACATAATAAAGGAAAAAAGACGGTCAATGCTATAGACAAAATTAATTTACCATAATGTTGTCGGCCAACAAGCTAACTATTGACGCCATGAATATATTGTCATCCTCACTGAAAGCACCACTATGCCAGAAAACCAGATTAGTGACGCGTCTAAACAGTAATTAGTGACGTGGAAAGCACGCGTCACTTACATTGCGTCTGTGATGTGAACACATTAGTGACGCGTAAATACACGTCACTGATTTGGGTTATCAGCGACGTGTCTAGCCAAAACGCGTCACTTATGTGAGTTACCATTGACGGGTCTAGCCAAAAAAGCGTCACTGATGTGAGTTATAGGCGACGCGTGTAGCCAAAAACGCGTCACTGATGTGGGTCTCATCAGCGACGTGTATTGCCAAGATGCGTCACTGATGACAATTCAGAAAAACAAAAAAAAAAGAAAACCCCCTACTTGGGTCCTATATACATCAGCCATGTTTCATTTGTTTCAGCAATCAAATTCTTTATTATAAACTTTAGATACAACTTATGAAGCAATCAAATTCTTTACAAACTTTAGATACAACTTATGCTACAAAACATCTACTCAAGGAGCTGTTACCTAGAAATATCCCTACCTGTGAAGCATCTACTCAAGGAGCTGTTACTCTTATGTATACACACAAGACCATGCATAGCTATCAATAGTTTGGAATGATAAACAACAGCAAATACAACAGCTGTGACACCAGCTAAGCACTCTTCATGCTACTCTGACTACACATTTAGAAATATCCCTACCTGTGAAGCAGCACTTAGATCAAAACTCTTCTGCACACTCCACTTGGCTCTCCAACCTTTCACCTCTGCAAGCACTGTATCAATGGCTTTATGCTGCAAACATCAAAGTCATGAATGTACCATAAAATCTCAACTATCTGTAACAAGGACACATTGAAATGAAGATGGCATGTATCCTGAACAGCTAACACCAACTTTGGAACTACTAGACATCGACAATTCATTGTAAGTTGTTCCTATGCACGATATGGTTATTTGAGACACGTGCAGAGATATTATTAATTAATTAAAGAACCATAAAATTTGATAAGTACCCATATGTTCTATTCTAAGAATGGGAGCACATACAAATTCAGTTCTAACCGACAAAAAATAATATACCTGTATATTACTCAAATAACAGCGTTGATTCTATTGGGCATCATTGTCCACAATAGAATGCACCCGTCCTAGCGCCCTGGTGCCCTTCTATTGTGTGCTTGCACCTTATAGCATAGCCGGCACCACAGAGGAACTACTTTGGGTCCTCACTGAGTGATCTCATAATGCATCTTGAAGCAGCACACCGTCCCTGCAAATGTTGAGGCCTCTTGCACTTAGCTAATGCATTTGATGCTTGCATCTCAAAGAGCTATAGGTTGTATTAATTTATAAATTACCTATGTGCTTAATACAATAAAATTAATTTATATTGTCAAAATGAAAAAATAAATCTAACACTAGTTTGAATTATCTGAGATAGCATAAATACTTTTAGGGACTGCTAGATAATTAATTTAAAAACTTGAACAACAACGAAGCAGAATCAGATACGATACAATGTGCATCCACCATGAAGTTTCCAGGTTCTGGGAAATTCTAATCATGAAATGCATACCAAAGTGACAAGATACAGCGATGTACATATTTAAAGATGAGCATATGAGCAGTATACAAATGGTCTTGCAGGAAGCAAAGTGGCATGCATAATAGGATACATAAATTTTAGACTAAAAACTGAACATTATTTTCAAGTATGATTTAATTGGCAGTATACAAATGGTCTTGCAGGAAGCATATGAGCAGTATACATACGTCAAAACTGAACATTCAGAATGAAAAGGAGATATACATAAAAAAAAATAACTGCAAACACATGATGTATCTAAATCCATTCATGGATCAAAGATCTACATCCTCATAGGAAAGAGTATGGAAAGGAAGACCAGTATACATACGTCAAAACTGAACATCCTCTGTACTTAAGTCCCCTCAGTCAGGTGCGGGACAGAGGGGACTTAAGTACGGAGGGCACCCCTGTTGCAGGCCAGGATGAGATGCGTGTAGATTGTAGATTGGAGGACTGCTAGCATGGAGGCGATGTGAGGATTGGCGAGCAGGAAGGCAGCGATAGCAAAAAAAATAACCTTTGGATTTGGCTGATGCAACCTACATCCTTCACCGTGGCCAAGATCAGAGGAGGGAAACTAGGAGATCACGTACCAATAGTGGCCGAGCCAAGTAGAGTTGGCACTACACAAATGGAATGAATTTTCAGTTAAGAGAAGGCTAGCAGCAAATGATATATGCTTGTCAAATTACTTAAATTTACAACGACAGTGTTTGCTTTATGGGACTGGCTGGAAAAAATAATCAGGCACGCCCCATGCTAATAATTCAGCCAGCATTATCTGATATGAATCTACTCAAGAATGTCAACTCAGGAAAAGAAATGTTTCTGCGGCAAAGCAAGAGCTAGCTGACATGTATGTCATATTTTACCTGCAGCACAAGATCTGTCTGTTGTTGTTCCCTTCACTGTTCGGTATATCTGCATCAAGCTAGTAAAGCAAATAAGAAAACAAAGACATGGAAATATTAGACTGATCCTTGCGCTGCTATTTGGTTTGCTCTTGCAACGTGCTAAGGAAAACACATTAACTGTGGTTGATATATATTACTATCTAGTTAAATGATTCAGATGAAAGAGACAAGTACTTGGCGACAACTACAAACAATGCCAAAAGAAAAGGGTGAAGGGGGCTGACCCAGAGATCATCAAACAGTGCTACCTTTTTGTTTGGTTCTTGACATAAGACTGAACAATTCAGTTAAATGCAAGATATAATTTAGCGAAAAGAAAACAAACAAATAAAATCACTCCATGTTTGTTATAGGCAAAGGAATGAATCAAGTTAGAAAATAAGAGCAGATTCACCCAAGATTCCAGCGCAGGTGTGAACTTAAACATTTTAGTGAAGAGATTGAAGCAAAATAAGGATTCCTAATGTAAATAAGTCTTCAGCAAATTTAAACCCCCACTATGAGCAATTTAAATCATGACGTGGAGCAAAAATTTACTAGTAAGAAATTAAGGTTACAGCAGCTAGATAGAGCAAAAACTTACTAGAAAGAAATTAGAGAGGATTTTATATGTCACATTACATATAAGTATAAGCTGGTGATGCGTGCATATGTATGGGACAAATTAGAGAGGATTTTTACATAGCTAGCTAGCTACCTGCCGAGACTGGTGCACTTACTACTACCGCTATCACTCAAATAAAAAAGTAACCAATGGCAACAAACGCTAGAACTTACCCTCCACCTTATCTGCTAGTTAAGCGTGTGGATCCAACACCAAGAAACAGGCTGGCATTATTGGTCCAAGGATGTATGGAGAGCTCCAGAATCATTAACATGCTAAAAATTTAGGCAGAAAATGGTTAGTGGAGCAAATTCTGCACAAATTGAATCCTACGGTGAAATTCAGTTACCTGTGTTTACTTAGACAGCTGGCGTCCTGCTTAGTCCAAACAAATCAGCAGCAGAAGAATCACATTGCGAGGAAGATATACTTTTCAGCCAACATTCACATTGCGAGGAAGATATACTTTTCAGCCAACATTCTCTTTCAAAACCATGTAGTGCTTGTTCTATGAGTATGTTCACAGTAACTAGTTTCAGTAGAGACACAGAAGCAAAACTAACACCATCCTAGTTTTAGAACAAAATGGGCTCCCATTAGTAGAACCAAGGTCAGAACATCTATGAGAAGGCAAGTGAGAGAACTGAGCTACTTTTCTGCTCTGTAAGATGTCCAGACCATTGTCCTAACAAAAGTAACTACTAAAAAAGTGAACTAGCTCAGGCCAAAAATACCCTGAATCAAACTCACTCAAGCATGACCCAGTTTCAAGCAACCGTCACTAGTGTTTAAGGCAAGCAATAGATGTTGGAACTAGGTAACTAATATTATCAGACTTTTTAAAGCTGAAATAGAAATTTGGGGTTTTTTTTTCCTGTAACACAGTCACACATGCTAGTGCTAATTTGTAGACTGAACCTTTACGTGGTCCAAAGACTGATTAATTATGTAGTGTTTCTGTCATGTAGGAGTGCTAAGTTCAGATTGTAGGTTATATGATCTTACAGCCAAGGATAGTAATTTGAATTTGATGCAAGTAAATGTCCCAACTCCCAACCATTTTGTCCTCTATGGGTTACTTAAGAAAATCTCAACACCAGTTAAATGTTTGTTCTGTTCTCTCGCCACTTCTATCATCTCTCTACTGTGTAACTCCTACAAAAACAACTGTACAAAAAAACAGACAAGGGCCAGGTGGGAAGAGCATTACATATTCTTGTATGACGATGCATTTAATCACAACACCATCCAACAGAGGCTAGCACATAGCAGTCAATTGCAAAACAACAGTTAGCTTGCATTGACATTTCATAAAACACCTAGATTACACGCAGTGGCAGCACAGAGCAGCAAGCACGGAGCAACGAGCAGAGGATTTCCAGCGGCCGAACTCCAGATGCACAGTAGCAGCGACGCTAGGTAGCAGCATGGGGATTGGGGGTGATAGGGAGGACAACCTCACCTGGATTCTCAATGCATGCCGGCGCAGGCGGGGTAGAGGTACTCGAGGATGAGGCGGAACCGGTCTCCCTACCACGAGCGGCCATGGATCTGGCCTCCCTCGTACGAGCGGCCGTGTATCTGGCGCACAAGCAGGGCCCCTAATGGCCGCTCAACGCGCCACGACTTGGCGGAGGGTGAAGGACGGGACTGGGCGGGGTGGTGCGACGGATGAGACTTGGTGCTGCCTGCGGCAAGCCGGGAACCCCAAACCCTAACGAATTTGGTGCCGACACAGAACTGCAGACGATAAGGTGGACGAGCGGCGTCGGCATCGGCGGAGCGCACCAGCGGCGACCAGGAGGGCAGCAAAGGTGGAGGGTGGGAGCGCGACGCGTGGGTGCGGGATCCAGAGGCGGAGGGGGTCGGAGAGACTATTTGCCTGAGGTGAGATGGGAGAAGAGAGGGGGAGAGAGACGAGAGGAGCGCTGAGCACGTCGGACGCAGGACCGAGGGGACGGGACGACCGGTTCCGGACTTGAGTCCGAACTTAACCAATCTACATAAATTTTTTGGGTCCGTACAGACGTGTTTTGTTGAAACTTTATTATTTGTGACGCGTCTAGAGTGTCACGTTTTGGCTTCTGGCCTTGGAGGACAGCTAATCAGTGATGCGTTCCGTTCACCCGAGTCACTATTTTTACACTACTAGTGACGCAATTTAATTCCAAGTCACTGATTGAGGTATCTCATTTGTGCTGTTTTAGCATAGTGCACGTTCCTCCTCTGGAGTAGACGGTTGAACAGGCTGATATTTAACAACAAAGTAGTAGTACATGGCAGTTAGACGTAAGATGCACCTGACATGACACCTTTTGTAGTTTATGTCATCAAATATATTTGGTTTAAGTGTAGCAGCAAAGCCATCGGCCGAAAAATACCTACCATGTCTTTGGATTGTTAGATGTTTAAAAAAATTTAGTCATATTTAAATCTAGAAAATAACAAAAGGTTTGCAATAAGCATGTGCATGTGTGATCTACTCGTTGAAACCATCGCTAGTAGAGAACAGACCTTTCATCCGATGTTAAAATTGGCTCTAGTCCCGGCATTTTTTGCGCCCGGGACTAGAGAGACCTTTAGTCCCGGTTGGTGTCTCCAACCGGGACTAAAGGTCCCTGCCCAACGGCTACTGCGCTCGGCACAGTGGCAGAGGACCTTTAGTCTCGGTTGGTAACACCAACCGGGACTAAAGGTGGACCTTTACTCCCGATTGGAGCCACCAACCAGGACTAAAAGTCCTCAACCTTTAGTCCCGGTTAGTTCAAAAGGGAAGCATCACATCCATTGTTAGACGTGTTGTGTAGGTGGGGTGGTAAGCTACGCGAGAGGCAATGCATGGGGTCTTGGGTTCGAATCTCACGGGACGCAGCGTAGGAGGGATTATTTTTTTTAAAGCTGGGAAGACATTTAGTCCCGGTTGGTGTTACTCACCGAGACTAAAGGGGGAACTAAAGGTTCCCCCTTTAGTCCCGGTTCCTGACCCGAGACTAAAGGATCCCCTTTAGTCCCAGATGCTTACTCCCGGGTGGGGAACCGGGACTAGAGGGGGTTCCCCATCGGGAGTAAAGCTTTGTGTTTCTACCAGTGCATAATAACCGTATAAACAAGAAACAAAGCAACTAAAGTTGTAATATAATTGAGGATCAAAATTAGATGAAGACGTGAGGGGCCAAGACAGACTTATACGTAGTCCTTTAATAAGCGTCGCCACGCTGCTCAGTTCCTACTCTTAGGTTACCGATATCAATATACCATGTGTATTATTTCCTCATAAGCCAACAAGCAAACTAAATTGAGCACAAACTTTACGCTTTTTATTTGAGCAAGTAAAGTTTGAGCACAAACTTTTACTACGAAGGTTCTTTGTGGTCTGAAATTCAATACCCAGATTGGGCCAATAAGATTGGCAGAACCTGTTCGCTTTGCTGAAAAGCCATGACTGAAAGCACTGTTGGCTGATTTGTTGTGAGAGAAAAATACTGTTCTTTCGTTGAAACAGTACGGCTCATAGGACAAACGAACAAGGCCATAGATACTAACCTGCTAGGATGCCAGGCCTGGATTATTCCGAACTGTTCGTTTGCTATCTCACCGGTAAGGATGAAAACGTTACAGAAATATTCCGAACCGACCGCTTTTATTTTCTATATTATGATACCGTTTCTGAATTTCGCCAAACATAAAAATTTGTCATTTTAAATTTGTTTCACAACCATTTTTTGTACTCTTTAATTGCTAAAATATAAAAATATTTCGAACCGACCACTTCCATTTTCTATATTGTAATACCATTTCTGACCATTTTCATCCATACTCACGGGCCTGTCCAGGAACAGTTTATTTGGGCCAAGTGAAATGAAGACCAGAGTATCGGACTTGGACTTCTTTTAGGACAGGCAAATATTTTTCAGCCCTTCCACCTTGGCTGTGCATACAAATTTATTTATTTTTGTTGCTTAAAAACACAAAAATTAAAAAAAAGTCCTATTTACCATCCTTAGATATGACACAATATGTTAAATAACCATTTGTGTTTTGTATATTTCTGAGATGGTTTACATGTAAATCTATAGCTTTAACTTGCATTTTGAAGCATGTTATTTGTATAGTGCTGCTAGCCTGCTACTGTTCGCATCACGGATTTTATATCACCGGATTTTCGTTGGAGGTTGGAGCTGATAGAACGAATTGTTTGTCTGAATATTTTTTGCTTAGATACCATTGATTATTTTTGTTGTTGTTGATTGATATCTTTGTATGGATATAATAAGCTGTATGTGTAGACCTTTTGTAATTTATTTATGCTACCCACAAGAAATTTATTTTCATGAAAAATTTAGACCCTTATCTCAATGCATGGATATAAATAGCGATGAAAACGGTACGGATATTTTCCGACCGTATTTGAGA